CCTCAGGCGGTGTTTCCCAACTGCTGGACTTTGGACTTGACATACAGTAGATGCCAGCAGGACTTGGTGCCAGGTAAGCTGGGGGTTCAGGACTGCTTTGCCCTGTGCCTGTTTTAAACTTTGCTGGGGGGCTTTCTCCTGCTGGAGAGAGTATAACGGCCCGTGTTTTGAATGCAGGCGTCCTGCTATTTCTTTTGATAACTAACCCACACATACATGGGTTGCAGATCTTCATTCTCCTACAAAAATTGTACCTGTTTGGCCTCTTTCTGCCTCTGTACAAGAGGCTTCTATTTGGCAAGCCTGACTAATATTAATCATAAAGCAACCATAAAACCATTTTTAGAAAGTAAACAATGAAGCTAAATAGAAGAGCAAATAAAAGCCATTCCGTTTGTAGTGGCAAGGAGCTTAAAACATTTTAAACCACCACAAAAAACAAGGCTTCACCCTAAAGCCAGCGACTCTCCATGGCAGAAGAACAGCTGAAATGCTGAGAATTTATTTGTTCCTTTCACTTGCTTAGAATGTATGGGGAAAAGAGAATGCAATAAAATAGGGGTGGGGCACACTTAGCACATACACACTACACATTTACAGCACATCCCCCCCTTCCTCTAAAGAATCATGGGAACTGTAGTTTATCCCTCAGAAAACTACAATTCTCAACATACTTTTTTTTTAAAAGCCCAGAGTTCCCAGGATTCTCTTTCTGCTGGAGGAAAGGTGCTTTAAATGTATAGCGTGTGTTTGTGTGCAGCCATAATCCACCTGACAAGGCTGTTTCCAAACCTGGGCCAGAACAGGCCACTTTCCTCCCACACTCGCAATGGCTGCAGGCTTTTGTAAATTCTCCATTTACGAAACGGCCCTGCACAAACCGCTGCAGTTGCAACAGGACTCTGCTCCATGACAAACCTGATATTCCGGTTTAAGATTATCCCGTTCCCCCCTAGCTGTTCCTCAGTCGTGAGTGGCGAGAACCCTTTGGGTATCTTGGCAGAGCTTGGTCAGTTTCGAACGGGGGGGGGGGGCGGCTTGTGATTTTCCTTGCACTAACCTGGAGCTCAGGAAAAGTCCCTCTCCCTAAGAACCAGGGGGTGGCATTCCTGGGCAGAGCAGTGGCCTACCTCACCCCCAGATGGGGCCACGATCCCTGACAGAGCAAGTGCATCTTGCGGGGAGGATGCTGGATCCAGCTCTGCGGCTAAAGGCACCTGTGTCCTCAGGGACTAAATAAAATTTAATGCATTTTTGGAAAGTGTCAAACAGATTATCCATGCACTAATTTGGACAGATCTGGGACTTCTTGGGTCAGTTTTAACAAGCGATGGTGGGTGTCTGTTTAGTGCAATGTGTCAAAAAAGGAACAGAGATGCAAACAATCACACACACTTGGCATGTATTAGACTTGAAAAGGGCCATTTTTATGGGTTTCTCTAGGGAAGGGAAGATGCTCTGATAAAGGGATGTGGCAATTTCAGTGTGACTTGCTGCCTCACCTGCATGATATATGTTTAAAGCAGTAGCGTTTCCCAAATGATTCTGGGAACTGTCGTTCCTTTAAGGGTGCTGAGAGTTGTCAGGAGACCCTTATTCCCCCAGCAGAGCTAGAATTCCCACAGTAGTTTAACAATCAACGCCTCTTCCCGGGAGAAGAAACAGATTCTTGGGAGGGGAATACAGAGGTCTCCGAACAACTCTCAGTAGGTCAGCGGCAGGGAAAGATCTCCCAAGATTTCTCCCACTGCATCACATGCTAAGGAGATTAACTTCGGCACGTGGAAGGAGCGAAAAGTCGGCTCTTGCCAATTTCGGGAGGAGGGAGGGACTGCAAAACACCCCACAATGTCCCCATACCTGGAAGCAACACCTGAACCTCTGTGCTGAAAACCTGTTGTAATTTGCAATTAAAGTTTCTTATCGCCTCCCGTTACTAAAGGTTAGAGGCAAGACTCCACCCGTCAGCTTATTCCCATGCATGCAATACTAACCCTGTGGAATTAGTTACTGAATTTGGGAGATACATACATACCCAAGGGGACCCCAGTTTAACCCTGCAGAAAAGGGGGTGGAACGTGCAAGAGCGGCAAAGGAGTGCTTTGTTTGGGGGCAGAGAGGCACAGAAGCAGAGCAGCCTTCTCCAGGGGCTTAAGCATTCATTATTACAATATATTTCATTGCTTTGCCAGCCCTTTGCCCTACAGTCCTAGTGTGGGTGCAGAGATCAGGGTGTTGCCCTAGGACCTGGGAGACGGGATTAAATCCCCACTCGGCCGCAAAGTTCACCGGCTGACCTTGGGCCAGCCACTACCTACTCAGAGTAGACCTACTGAGATGCAAGGACATGGCACGCTTAGGCCCACGATTCTCACACAGACACCCCAACACTGGCATGTTTAACAGGGGTTGCATGATTTTATTTAAAAATGCTCTATCCCAGTTCAATATCCAACTTGAACCTCAAGACAAGTTGCGGTTGAGGAATTTTTGGATTACAGAGACTACATGCCTTCTGGGGGGGGGGGCTATGATAATAGTAATTAATAATTAATAGTAATAATAATTTATTATTTATGCCCCACCCATCTGGCTGGGTTTCCTAACCACTCACCTAGGAGACAAACAACGTTCAGAAAGCAATGAACTTTAACAACAATGTCGGGGATTTTAAAAAGGATGGGGGGGAGAATATTAAGTACCGTATGTACTAAAAGACAACAAGTTAAACAATATTTGAAGGACAATTGTAAACAATTAACAACATTAGCAGGGTTGATTTAAACAGACTTGTAATGTTAATGAATTTTTAAAACTTCTTCAAAATATGGGACAATTATAATAAGTGAAATGTCAATTGGAAGAGGTACAAATGCGATGATACTGAAAGAATGACGAAAACCACTAAGGGGAGGGAGGGAAGTCGATTTCTCTAGCTGCTATGAGCAAAGAGATAACAAAGAAGGGTGTACTTAAATACTATAAAATGGAAATTTAATAATAATAAAAAGACAAGGCGTTGAACAAGCCTGCCTTCTGATGGGGTCCCTCCCAGGCCCTTTTTTCCATGCTTCTGAGCATGGGCAGAGTCCTCCCCCCTCCCGGAGGGATGAAGAGGGCTTGGCGAGCCTTGAGCCTCAATTACGCACGGCGCTTTCCCCCCGGTTGGCCGGGGAAGTCTCCCCTGGGGCGCACAGGCTCACCTGCCGCCAGGTAGTCCCTCCTGACGCCCGTCTGCGCCTCCAGGCGGCCCAGCAGGTCGCCCACGAAGCCCGGCCGCTGCAGGAAGGCCTGGAAGCGGAGCTGCGCGGAGCCCATCGCGGAGAGAGAGGAGCGCACCTTTGCGCCCCGGAGACGCGCGGCCCGGCGGGGGGGGGGGCCAGGAGGGAGGGAGGAGGGCGGGGCTGGGGGCACGGCCCCGCCCACCCACAGGCTGGGCCAATGGAGGGCGAGGGCGGGGCCGGCAGGTGCGCGGAAAGAGCGCAGGGGCGCAAAAGCGCGCAAAGGAGCGCGCCGCGGAGAAAGCGCAGAGAGCCGGCTCTCCAGAAGCAGGGCAGGGCGCTTTCCTCTTCAGCAACTCTAGGGGTGTTGCTTTTGGTATAATCATAGTATCTTTTATTATTATTTATTATTAATTAATTAATATAATCAACCATCTGTTGAGGTTCCTCTCTAACGTTCTGGTTTTGTTTTGTTTTTTTGCGTGTTTATGTATCTTTAATCCTCCACCGTAACTAAACCATCTTCGCTTTGATTTTATTCCAGTGCTGGGCATTGGATCTAAACGCCTAAAGACATTATTCTGGCTTAAAAAGTCGATAATTTCTTTTAAAAGAAAAAGTTTGCGCATGGTGTTTTTGTTTTAAAAATGAATTTAGAAACAAATCTCTTTTTTTCCTGGTATTTTTGTTTTTGTCTTTTAAAAATGAATTGATTTTAATTGTGTTTCCCCCCCAAAACACCTTTTTTTTGCGTTTTTCTTCTGCCTCCCCTGTCGAAAGCGGGGGCGCTTCTCTGGGCCAAAGTTCCCTCTCCACGCGAGGATGGCCTGTAACGCAGCACCACCTGGTGGTGTTAAAATGTAGGGCACCCTCCGTCAGGGATCAAGCACTCCAGCCTCAATTTTAAAGGGAAAAAAGAAAATCTCTTTTGCCCCCGAGCGTGGGGAACAAGTCCTGCAAGAATGCGCAGAAATGGTTGGCATCGTTCTCGAGGGAGGCACCTGCTGGCCCTGTTTGCAGAAGCGCAGGTGGGCCTTTCCACCCCAAAAGGTCACATTGCACCATCAATATTTTGGGGGGAGGCTGAGGGGGGTGATGAGAAAGAGACAAAGGGGAAGGTCTCCTTCCTCCGTCACCCGGGATTCTGGTCCGCTTGCACCCCACGAATGGTCTTGCCAGCCTCCCAGGGCTGCTCCCAGGCATATATTACGTAGCACCGGGCAAACATGTCTGAATCGGGTATCTGTCCCTCTCAACTTCTCGTTTCTCCACTCTTCAGCTCTGCTCCCACATCCCAGCATCACTTTTGCTATTGTTTTATTATTATTTTAAGTGTCCACACAAACACACAAAATGCAACAGTGCTTCACCACAGATTTCTCCTAAATATACATGTTTTTGTATGGAGATTTAGGATAAATCCACTCTGAAAGGCTGGCAAATTTTCTGAATGGGCTTTATAATAATAATATATTTGTACCCTGCCCATCTGGCTGTGTTTCCCCAGTAATTTTGGTTCCTGAATGTCTCGGGAGCCAAACAAATCGGAAGTTATTGTTCCGGTTTTCAAACGTTTTTTGGAAGCCGAACACCCAGTGCGGCTTCCTGCAGCCAGACAGAAGCCGTGCCTTGGTTCTCGAACCGTTTTAGGAGTCAAACAGACTCCCGGAACGTATTAAGTTCAGGAACCAAGGTTCCACTGTATTATTATCATTAGTATGTTCTTTTCACCAACATATTCGTTTTCACACATGCTTTTCCAGCAGTAGACACATGTTTCAGGTTGGAAAACTGAAGAATTATCAGAAGCCTTTTTATTTCCATTCAAACAGGGAGACTTTAGGAGTCTGCGAACTGAACAGGACAGGAGAGAGAAGGTGAAAAAGGGGAAATAATAACACAAAGACACGCATTTAATTCTGTAACGGCTTAAATAAAAATGACTTTTAATGCAACTTTAAAAACAAATCAGCACCTAAGTGAAGGTTCTTCGGAGAAACCGTGGGCCCCTCCCTCTCCCTCCCCCCTCCACCCCAAATCAAATTATTTGTGAAAACTGTAAGATTATAAAATAAATTACATATTCTAGCTAGCAATGTAAAAGTGAGGCGGGGGCAGTGTGGAGCTTTTGTGGGATTCCTGAGATGGAAAAACAGAAGCAACTTCATAAAAACAGAGGAAGGCGTCTGTAGAAGTCAGGCTCAGCGCTTCTGACTGATGGGCAGCTGTTCTCCAGGGTTTGCAAAAGGGAGACATTCCCAGCACTGCATTTTGGATCCTCAGCTCTCAGCCAGAACAGGAAGGGTGTAGCTGCTGTTCGGCTTAATTTTTATTGTTGTTTTGTTAATAGTGCTTTACAGAAAATAGTTGTTTTACTGACGATTGGTAATTATTCTATGTGATTTACGCTGTCGTCGTGATGTTCTATTCTTGTTCGCGAGTGCGCGAGTGAAAAGCGGCCCAGAAATGGAAGGAACAGAATGAAATGGTGGGACTTTCAGGAGCGAGAGCTTTTTCCCTTACAAGAAATGCCCTCTGCGAAATTGCCAGCTGGAATATGCTATGAAACAGATCAAAACCCATTGCACATGTCTCGTTTTACTGCAAAGGTCCACAAGAAATAGTTAAACCTCATGCTTGAAAGCAAGATTAAATGACACCGACTTCTCCAGGGTTTCTTTCTACTGAACAATCGTAGGCATATTCCACTAAAGGAGACGGGTTGATCGATTGACTGGCGATGATGGGAGGTGGGATTCTTGAATATCTGGCACTCTCAAGGTTGAAGGGGGCGATTTAGGGCACTGGAAAAAGGGAGAGAGATGGCGGATTGGAAATTCTCCGGGAAACCCAGAGCCCACAGGACTAAAATGGGCAGACACGGGCAGAAAAAGCACACTGCGCAGGCCAGAGAGAATGAGGACTGCAATGTTTGTAGGAGGACAGCCATGAACTGCTGGATTAGGCCCAGCACCCTGTCCTCACGATGAGAGTGCAGCCGCCGCCTTCTGCTCTTGTTCTCCACTGTCCTAAGGCTAAGCTGGCTCTGTCTATGGAGGTTCCACAAGGAAACTAAGAAGAGCATGCTGGATCAGGCCCACCCAGCCCAACCTCCTCTCTCCAGGAGAGCCCAAAAGGAGGACCCAAGTGGCAACAGCACGCTCCCAAATTTGTGGCTCAGGGGAAGCCAGGAAGAAGCTCCATGGAGGATCCCTGGGTCCATCGAGCTCAGTTCTACACTGACTGGCAGGATTTCAGGAAGGTGGGAATTCCCAGCTCTGCCTGGAGAAGCCAGGGCTTGAAATTGGACCTGTCTTCTCTCACTGAGCTACAGTTTGGACCATGAGGGGGCTACTTTGAAGGCCTGTAAGGCATGTATGTTCAAATATTTCTCACTGTCCGATTTCAGTGACCATTCACCGAACTTTCTGGTCACACCATGTAGGACTGGAGAGTTGGACAGGCAGCTGTCAGGGGCAATAGTGATGAGGGGAGATGGACTCCAACGACATTTGGCCGGCCACAGATCGCACCCCCCACCCAAATCCCTGGACTAAACAAAAACAGGAGCCATTGTAGACTCTACGGGCTCAGTCAAGACACTTCAGATATACAAGGATTTTCACAGTCCAGAAAGCGCCTCCGCTCCGGCATCCGAACCCCGTGGCTCTCGCTCGCAAACAATTCCACTGGGCTAAGCAGGCGGGCCCTTGGGGAACTCTCACTGAGAGTTACTAGAGAAAGCAGAACCAATTAAAGATTTTAAGAGATTCAAATAGCAATCAACTTTTCTTTTACAAAAAGAGAGAAAGGGGAGGGGGGAAGAGAAGGATCCACATATTTCCACTTGAACAGATTCCTCCTCCTCCTTCTAAGCCAAGACATTAGTCATGTAGCTCTATTTTGACGGGAGAGTCTGTGACACCCAACGCCATTCGGGATTTTTAAACACTCGGGTTCGTCTCCTTTTAAGTCTGCGACGCCCCGTGACTTTTTTAGAGCGAAGTTGGTGCGCTGGTTTTGAAAACGAGACTCTTTGAGCTCTCTGCTGAGCGTGGCGCCCTCATCCTGCCATGTTCAAACGAGGAAATATGCCATTTTTTTCCTGCAATACTTGTAAGGGCAGCCCTTCTTTGCCAGAATCCAGAATGTTTTTCAGGCAGGGGCTGTTGGATCTTCTGCCCCAACCACAGAGAAACGGCTGTGCCAGCCAATAACAGGAGTCTGGGCGAGTCTCAGGTGTCTCTCCCCCCCATCTTCATTGTCGTCCCCCCCCAAAAAAAATCTTCTTAGGAAGTGTCATCAAGGAGGCGGCACCATTCCAGTTTTACTCCAGAGCCCCCCCCCCCCGACACAGCAAAAAAAGTTCAGAAAAAGGATCTAGTACCACGCTGAGATTCTAAGGTACAAAGTGGTGCTTGGGGTGGGGTCTGAGCAGCATCTAGCTTTTGAGGCACTGGAAAAGAGGGCTCAGGGGTGTGTGTGGGGGGGAAAGAAGGCAGCTCCCAGTTCCTGGAGCAAGACCCAGCCGAAGAGAAGGTGTGCGCTTCGGATGCAGAGGTATGTAGTTGCCAGGTTTGAAAAAGGCAGTAATGCAAAGAGGTCCGTTTTTTCTTTAAAATAATAATAATGGGAGGGGACCCCAAGAGTCATCTGCTCCAACAACCCCCCCCCAAAAAAAACTAGGTCAGAGCAAAGGAGGCCTCTCTCCACCCCACCCCCCTTCCTGCCCCAAAGCATTCGCCAAGAGGGCATCAGAGGCGTTTGGGGGGCTGGCAGAGTGGAAAGCTCTGACCCCCTTGACGAGGGGTTAGAAAATTTCCCCGGGCAGCAATACTCTGCTTTAAGCTACAACGTTTTTGTATGCACCCTTTTTGAAAAACCCAAGTCGAGACAGGAGGCAAAAATTTTCATACAAATTGAGGCTTGGATTCTTGGATATTACAGGAGGCATAAGCCCCCCCCCTTCTCCCTTCCGAAATCCCAGACACACAATTAAAAAAAAAAACGCCTCTACTCCTCCGCGGCGATCCAAAAATAAAAACTGCTCAGTTGTGTCTGGAAAGGGGGGACCTGGAGAATTGAAAGAGGGTGCAAAATCGTTTCTTGGGGAGTTATCGTTGATTACCGGACACAGAGAGGGCCCTGCGGCTCAAAATCGGGAAGGAAAACCCGCCCCCCACCGCCCCCAAGGTACTGTGAGAAGTTTCTTTTCAGGAAGTGCAACAGCGAGGGAGCAGGCGGGACGCGGGGCTCGTGCCTCAGTGCTCGTTGTGGCAATTGATGTTGCTGTCTGAGTGTTTCAAGTCGCTGAGCATCGCCGCGATGATGGCCTGCAGTGCTCTCCCCAGCTGCTCAGCGCTGTAGGGCCTCCCCAGCGGGGGAACGTGGACGAAGGCCGAGCGGCCGTGGCTGTGGTACAGCGAGGTGTAGTAGGTGAAGTCGCAGAGGTACCTGCAAGGAGGAGAAGCCGGGGATTAGAACTCGGAGCTAAACGGCAGAACTTGGCTCTCTGCAGGGACGGCTTTCTCGCTTCGCTAGCATTAATTTGATTTACAGTGGTCCCTTGGTTCTCAAACTTAATCCGTCCCAGAAGTCTGTTCCAAAACCACAGCGTTCCAAAACCAAGGCGCGCTTTCCCATAGGAAGACATGCAAAACGGATTAATCCATTCCAGACTTTTAAAAACAACCCCTAAAATAGCCATTTAACATGAATTTTACTATCTGGCAAGACCATCGATCCATAAAATGAAAGCAATGAACAATGTACTGCAGTCTCAAAACGGACGTGTGGCACTCAAAGCGGAGCACGTTCGGCTTCCAAAAAAAGTTCACAAACCGGAACACAGTTGTCCAGGATTGCTGTGTACTGCCCTCTATTCAGAGAGCCAACATTAAGAACTCATAGTAGTAAAAACACAACAAAAAGCATAATAAAATAATCATAATAATAGTCCCGTTTCCCCACCCCCCAGCTTTAATAGGCAATAGATTATTTCATGGGTAAAGAGGACTGGTTTTGCCTAAGGACATGCAATGATGGCACCAGGTGAGCCTCTGGGGAGAGCATCCCACAGACGGGGAGCCACCGCAGAAAAGGCCCTGTTCTCGTGTTGCCACCCTCTGGACCTCTCAGGGAGTGGGGGGCATGGGTAAGGTAAGGTAAAGGACCCCTGGGAGGTTAAGTCCAGTCCAAGGCAGCTATGGGGTTGCCGCACTCGTCTCTTTCAGGCCGAGGGAGCCGGCCTTTGTCCACAGACGGCTTTCCAGCTCATGTGGCCAGCAGGACTAAACCGCTTCTGGTGCAATGAGAAACTGTGACGGAAACCAGAGTGCACGGAAACGCCATTTACCTTCCCGCTGGAGCGGTACCTATTTATTTACTTGCACTGGCATGCTTTTGAACTGCGAGGCTGGCAGGAGCAGGGACCGAGCAACGGGAGCTCACCCCCTCGCAGGGATTTGAACTGCCGACCTTCCAATCAGCAAGCCCAAGAGGCTCAGTGGTTGAGACCCCATTGCCACCTGCGTCCCTAGATGACAAACGCAGGGTCAGCATCCGTTCGCATGGGGAAGAGGCGCTCCGTAAGACATTGAGGCCCTGAGCTGCTTTGGCCTTTGCTTAACTGATTTTAATTGTCCTGTTCAACTACGGAACTCCCTGCCACAACAGAGAGGACCAGGCCCTTCCCTCCGCCTAGTTCTGTACCGCCTGCACTGAGGGGCAGAGGCTCTCCAGGGTGTGGGGCTCAGCCTTACCACTGAGCCAGGGGGGCTTCCTTCTGTCGCCAGCCGGGGATTCTGCCCCGCCTACCTGCCGGCATCCTTCGATATCGTCACGGCGACGTCCAGCCCCAGGGTGGAGACCCTCTTGCAGACGGCGTCCATGTCGATGACGGAGTCGATGCACTCGGGCCCCCCCTCGATGCAACACTGGGAGCCCGGGCAGAAGCGGCAGTTGTCCAGGCCGCGGTAGCCGATGTTGTGGCCGCACTTTTCCAGCGTCACCGTGGTGGCCATGCCCGACAGGCCCACGTGCACCACCAGCTGCAAGGGGAACAAGAGCTGCGGTGTGCCAACCGTCCGCCTCTCCAGGTCGGGCGTGGACTATCCCTCCCTCCCCCGCCACATCTGGAAACCCCTGGAGAACCGCGGCCAGGAAAAGGGGGTGGCTTTCATGGAGCAAATGCTTTATTTTACGTAACTGACAGGCAGAAAACTGGATGTCCTTTTTATTTTTCTTCTCTCTCTATTTTTGGTTTTCCTTCCCTTTGGTGTTTTCCCTCCCTCCCTCCCCCCCTCTCTCTCTCGCTTTGGGTTTTTATTTAGATTAGTTTCTTTTACCTTATTGTATTATGAAAGAGAACGGCTGCCAGGTCTGAGCAAGATGGACCAAAGGTATGACCCTGCTTAAGTAGACAGCGCCCTATATTCTTATTTAAATGGGTGCTGCGTTATGAATTACGGAATTGTAGAGCCCAGCAACCCCCTGCAATGCTGGAATCTCAGCTAAAGCATCCAGGACACTTCATGAAAACGGGAAATGGTTCCGGAAGGGTTTGGAGAGATGTCCTGTCAGGACCCCAGGAGAGTCACTGCTGCCAGCCAGTGTGGGCACAATAGTCTGACTCCCGCTTGGACTACTGCCATGCACTCTATGTGGGCCTGCCTTGGAAGGTGACCCGGAAACTGCAACTAATCCAGAATGCGGCAGCCAGACTGGGGACTGGGAGTGGAGACCATATAACACCGGTCCTGAAAAACCTACATTGGCACAATTCAAAGTGTTGGTGCTGACTTTGAAAGCCCTAAATGGCCTCCGCCCAGTATACCCAGTATACCCAGACACCTGGGTCCATCTCCTGAGGGCCTTCTGTCGGTTCCCTCCCTGCGAGAAGCAAGGTCACAGGGAAACAGGCAGAGGACTTTCTCGGTAGTGGCTCCCACCCTTCAGATGTCAGGGAGATAAACAACTACCTGACATTTAGAAGACATCTGAAGGCAGATTCCCTGTTTAGGGAAGTTTTTAATGTTTTAATGTATTTTTAATCTCTTGTTGGAAGCTGCCCAGAGTGACGTGGGGTATAAATAATAAATGATGATGATGATGACTCGATGTAAGGCAGCTTCCTGTGGGCACCCAGCTGCTGTGTCCTCGCCCCCCCCCCGGCCATTCACTCACTCACTTGCGGGCAGTGCTTCTTCCACAAGGCAGGGATGAGCCGCTCCACAGCCTGGTATTCCACCGGGATTTCGCAGACGTGGAGGTCGACGTCGTCTCCGAGGCCCAGCTTCTCCAGCTCCTGGAAAGGAGAACAACGTGCGGGGGGGGGGGGGGCATTTTTAAGCAGAGAGAAAAACAAACTCAAACGAGGGACAGCAGGGCTTGTTGGCCGAGGACTCACTATCAGGAAGAAGGGGCACGGCTTAAGGAGGGTGCCAAGTGCCAAGTAGGGAGATGAATTGGGGAGGGGGCCACCTCAAGAATGCCCTCCCCTGCCTGAAGGTCAACACAGTCCTCTCCCAAACACATTTGGAGGCTGGGACTTGAAGCCGAACACCAGAAAATTCAGGGCAGGCAAGTCGGACATGACTAAAGGACTAAACAACAACAACAAAAGACAAAGGACTTATTTGCGCAGCAGAGATAAACTATGGAACTCCCTGCTGCAGGAGGCAGGACGGCCGCCAAGCTATTTGGCTCTGAGAGAGGGCCAGCCCAGTCCATGGAGGAGGAGGGGCCCCCAACGCTCCCATGGAGGCAGCAAGGTTGCTGAATCCCAGGTGCTGCAAACCACGGGAGAGGGACGTCCTCGTCTGCAAAACCCTGCTTGCAAACTTCCCCTTGGGGATTCTGGTCGGCCACAGTGAGGACAGGATTACGGAACAGATTTCTGTTTAGACAAGTCTTCCCAGATGCTCAGAAAGCTGGTGGGACGTTTGATCTGTTCCTAGCCTCCGTTAACTTTTTGGGAAAGCTTTACTAAGGGATAATTATATTGTTTCAGCATTTTCATAAACCGCTTTGGTGTGCGTTTTACAAGCGGGATATGAATTTCGTGAAATTAAGTTGGATCTTTGTGGGGGGGGTGTCTCCTTTTTAAACACCAGCCCATCTGGGGTGCTTAGAGTTCAAGCAAGAACCCACAACCCCCTCCCCCCCCCTCTCTCTCAGGTTTGAACACTTGGCTTCCTCTCCTGTGTACTTTACTAACTCCTTGCTGAAAGATATACGGGGTTTGGGTTCCTGTTTCCCCCCCTGCAAAAACAACACTTGTATTTTATTTCGTATTTGTATTTTATTTTTTTTGAACCACGCGTGGATTATTAAAAGGGGGGAGAGAGAAAGAGACCACATTCCCCGCCACCAAACATTCTTCCCCGCTGCCTTGGGCGTACCTGACAAATGCAGAAAGGGGGAAACCACGTGTGTGACCGATTCCCTGACCTCTCCACAATGGGCCGCTTTGTGCGAATCTAATATCCTTATCTGGTCTGTCTAGACGTCCTGACAGTGATTGTCTAGGAGGGATGGGGAGACTCGCTGCTCTGACCTCCCTCCTCGGAGGGATTTGGAAAATGGGGGGAGCAGGAGCCCCCCAACAACTTCACAGTCCGCAGGACACACCTGGGCCCCCGGCAACCTGCTGGACCACAGGCCAACTTTTTAAATAAAAGAAAATGAAACGGACCGCTTGCCAAAAAGCATGTCCCTGCAAAAAAGAGCAGATTCAGCTTGGGAAAGTGAAAGCCTTTGGGAATTTTGCAAACAGCAAGCTGTGTGCCTTCACTCTGCAAAGATGCAAAAATCCACCTTCAATGGGATAAAAGAGCCTGGAGGAGCAAGCAGGCTCTGGGCGCGTTCTAATAATCCCGTCGGCGCTGGCAGGGTTGTAAGAAGTCTTGCAATGTTCAAGATTGATGCCTTTTTACACTTATTTAAAATTGAGAGCAGCAGAAATGGAAAAAATGGAAAACGGAGGGTGTGCAATTGCTATGATATAAAGATGAGTTTTGAAAGCCAGGAGGCGGGAAGTCGATAAGCTCATATGAGCAAAAAGTAGGGTGAACAATAAGACTGTGTTTTAATATTAAAAAATGGAAATGCAATAGAAACAGTATATAAAATAATCATAATACTGTCAAGGCGGGGGGGGGGGGCTTTGTGGATCTCCCCAAGATCCATTGAGCACTTTCGAGTTGGGACAGTTCTAGGCTGGGTTGGGGGGGTGACAGACACACATTCAACCCTGGAGGGGAAGACAAAAAATAAATCCCTTAAACAGGAGAAAAGGAATTGGAGGGGGGGTCTTTCTCCCCCCACCCCTCCGTTCTCTTTTCCTTCAAAAGCTTTTGGATGCAGGACGCCCAAGTCTTATTAAAGCAGGAACCTGCTTAGTGTGCTCCCCCCCGAAAGCCGGGGGAGGATTTACAAAGATTGTTTAATTGATTTTTGTGTCTATTAAAATGCAGATCACACCGTCTGGAACTCAGAAACTCAGACACAGGTCTTTGTGTCCAGTCAGCTCCATGAAGTCCTGTCTGAGACAGACACAAAGGTCCACTTTGCACGTGTTCAAAAGCCTGCTGGGGTGGGCTGCCTCTTTTTTTGCAGGGGCCCCTCCAGGCTGGGACGGGGGAAGAGGCAAAAGAACAGCCAGCGCAGGGGAAAACTTTCGGCTGAGATGGTGCTGGAGACTCCAGATGAAACCAGCCAGGGATTTTTCTCCGTGAAGGGGCCATAAACATTTAGGGATTGAGGGGGGCGTTCCATTTCTGTTTCTCATTTTCCCAGGCTTAAAAATTAACCGCGAACAGCCCTTCCAAAAATTCATCAACATTTTACTGCCGATTCCTCCAAATTACCATGTTTTTCCGTGTATATATTTTTGGGGACTCAAATTTATGAAAATGGGGGAAGATGGCCCCCCATGTATAAGACGACCCCTGTTTTTTAAAATTATTTTAGAGTAAAAAAAACCTAGTCTTATACGGAAAAGTACAGTAACATGTTTTCCCAAATCAATTTTCCCTAACGTTGCTCATTTTTGAACGCTCTTGTCTCCCAAACACACACGTTTCACGGTAAATGATACCAAAGCATGCAACTTTTTCCTTCCCCTTAACACAGGGGGGAAGAACTGTGTTGCAAAATGTTGGAGAAGCGCAACTTTCGAAGGATGGCTGCATCCGAGTTCACCTGGGGAGCAGGAATGAGGAAGGGGCGCCTTTAAATAGGAGCTGAACCAAATTTCTCTCCGATATAGACTTCAGATATACTGTGGAGTTATTAAGGCTACCACAGCAGAGGGGACACGCTCGCTCTTTGCATGCACACAGACGGTGACTTTTAACACAAGCATGTAACCAAATCCACTATAAAAAGGGAGTTTCAAAATACAGACTCCTTATCTTTCCTTTTAACAAACATGTCCTCGTTTTGAAGGACACAGCAAGGAACTTGGCTACATTAGGATTGGTGTCCGCTACTGAAATATAAAACTTGTCTGAGTTTCCCCAAGTGCAAAGAAACTAGGCTGATAAAATTGAGCTCTGTATTTTAAAAAGCAGACTACGGGGGAACATGGGCTAACACCTCAACTAACACCAGAAGTCACGGCGCTGAGCAGAGAAAAGAAAGTCCTCCTTTGTGCACGGTTGAACTGTGGAACTCACTCCCACTGGAGACCATTTCCTGGGGTTCAACGGAGCCACTTTTGCAAGCTCACGCTCTCAAATGCCAATACGCCTTTTTAGCTGGCCCAGTAGACCTGAAGGAGCGTCTCCAACCCGGACACCGGGGTCCCTCTCCCAAGGGCCTTCTGGTGGTTCCTTCGCTGCAAGAACAGGGAACCAGGCAGAGGGCCTGAATCACCTTAAGAAGGCAGGCCTTGGTCCCTTCTGTGGAACTGCCGGCGGGCGCAACTCAGCTGGGGAGGAGCACGCGGCTCTTAATCTGGGGGCCATGGGTTCGAGCCCCACACTGGGCAAAAGGTGGATTCCTGCAAGGCTTGGGGGGGGGCTTTAACTAGATGGCCCTCTCCAATTCTATGTTTCTAAACTAAAGTCAAGATGTATTCCATTAAAGAATAATTCTAGGACGCATGTCCAGTATGGCAAAGGCTTAAGAACAACGCCCCCCCCCAACACCATTTGTTCTCTTCTGGGTTGGCCAAGTGCGCCACCCACCCCTTATTGCTGGAGGCAAAGTTCAGGGGTCAAAACACCTTTTCCCGGGCATTCTGCACCAGAGGCCGGGAGCCAGGATCCGTCTCACCTGCAGCCCAGGGCCTTGCCAAATACAAGAAGCTGGCTTTGAAGGCGGGGAGGGGGCAGAATAGGAGAGGGGGGAGAGATGCGAACTCACAGTCATGGCCCAGACATCTGGCTGGCTGGCTGTCCATTAGTCGGCTGCAATTGATTACGGGCTCAGAGTTTAATTTGAAAGCATTTGGAAAAAGGAATATTCCCAGAGCTCCTGACTTAGAAGGGGAGGGGACCCCGCAACCAGGATGGAGTGGAGGGGGGCACCAACTTCTCATTCAGCAGATCGGCTGTGCCTTAAATTTGGAGCCAGGCTTTCAGGCGCAATTTCACAATTTGCCTCGCTTAGAATCTCAGTTGCTACGTGGCCCAGGGGTCGGACTCAGTGCAGACGCCAAACGTGCTTCGTTTTGAGTGTTACGCTTCCAATTTGAGTGCCACACTTCCGTTTTGAGTGTTACACTGAAGTCTGTCTGTTTTTGCTATTTATTTTGTGTTTTTGTTTTTGCGACTGTGCGGAACCCAGTTCAGGTCCTGGTGGGCTGATCGTGTGACTGCAGTACATTGTTTATTACTTTCATTTTATGGATCAATGGTCTCGTTGGATAGTAAAATTCACGTTAAATTCGTGTTTCAGGGGTTGTTTATAAAAGTCTGGAACGGATTAATCCATTTTGCATTACTTTCTATGGGACAAAGAACTTGAGAACTCGCGCCGTTTACCTGAACCGCGATCCAGCTGGCATTGACCGAATGCTCCCCGAATGGGCCAAACCCTGGAACGACACAAGCAGAGGTTTCACCGACGTGGCTCTGGGCTCGCTGGCGGGTCTGGGCGTCCCCAAGCAAGGCTGACGCCCCCCTCCCCCCATCCTGTCCCATTGCCATCCTCCCCTGCTAGGGAGGCTTGGCCGAGTACCTGGCCACCTCACAGCTGCGTGGGGATCTGAACTCGGGTCTCTCCCAGGTCCAAGACCACACTGCCTACATCCCAGCATGGCTGGCAGCCTGGATCTGGGGGCGCCAAATCTTTGACGACTCCAACTCCCACCATCCCACCGCCAAGCCGTGATGGCTGCTGGGATTGGGAGTCCAGCAACAGGGGCAGAGCCACAGATTGTCTCCCCCAACCATGCGCTGCCCCTCCCCATCTCTCACCCATAACTCCATACTCCAAGGAGTGCAAGGCGGTGAGCAGAGCTCTCCCCATTTGATTCTCACAACAGGCCTTGGAGGGAGGACTAGACTGAGAGAAAAGACCGTGACTGGTCCAAGGGGACCCAGTGATGGGGGTATTTGAACCCTGGTCTCCTGTGTCCTAGTGTGACACCCTAACCACTAAACCACGCTAAAATTCTCCATCCTATGCAGGTCTACTCTGAAGTAAGATCCACTGGATTGTTTTTGATACTGTTGACCTTGATAGTCTCCTGGGACACACCACTTTCCGCCCCTATTTGGGAATACATTTCCTGCCACCTCCCCAGGTCCCCCCAAAACAAAACAAAAATACTCCCTCAAAACGGATTCAGAGAGATTTCAATTCCCCCCTCTCTCATGCAAGTGATGGGGACACAAACACTGATATTTGTACCAGCAGAAGCACCTTTGTCCTGAAAGAGAGAGAAAATTCAACTTCTACACGCTCTGGAGTGTCTTTGCTAACCAAAAACTGTTCTAAGCAGGGAGTTCTGATCAGCTGCTGACAGCGTGGTGCAGATGACGTCCAGGTTGCAGGTTTGGTCCTCGTAAGGGACAGCTTCATGTTCCTGCATTGCAGAGGGTGGAGTAGATGGTCCTCAGGGTCCCTTTCCAGCTCAACTCTGTGGTTCTCTGAGTCAAAGTGGGGGTCCCGCCAGGCCAAAGGATTCACTTCTTACAATAATAATATAATAACAATTTATTATTTATACCCCGCCCATCTGGCTGGGTCTCTCCAGCCACTCTGGGCGGCTTCCATAGAAACCAAAAATACACTAAAATATCACACGTTAAAAACTTCCCTGAACAGGGCTGCCTTAAGATGTCTTCTGAATGTCAGGTAGTTGTTTATCGCTTTGACAAGAGGGGAGAGACTTCATCAGGCAAGGCCTTCTTCCACCTACCTTGCCCCACCCTCCAGTCTCTGCTCCTCAATTTGTATTGTATTATTTTATGCACCGTGGCTTGCCACTGTTTTATTGATTGTAGTTTAGAAATTGTTTATTGTAATTGTTAAGAGTGAATTTATGTTTACTTTTTATATGCTGATATTATGATTCTGTACTATTCCAATGATTGCTGTGTTACTTTCTTGATGTAGGTTGCTTATTTTAAAGTTATGTTTTATTCTCACTTTTTTGTATTGCATTAGATTGTTATAAGGCATCGGTAGGCAAACTAAGCCCTGGGGGCCGGATCTGGCCCAATCGCCTTCTCAATCTGGCCTGCGGAAGGTCCGGGAATCAGCGTGTTTTTACATGAGTAGAATGTGTCCTTTATTTAAAATGCATCTCTGGGTTATTTGTGGAGCATAGAAATTTGTTCATTCCCCCCCAAAAAATGTAGTCCGGCCCCCCACAAGGTTTGAGGGACAGTGGACTGGCCCCCTGCTGAAAAAGTTTGCTGACCCCCAGTGTACATTCTTTGTTTCTTCAGCTTATAAACCATCTTGAGTATTGCAAGATAGAAAGACGGCATACAAATTAAAAGTGATATAATGATGAATTGCAAAAGCAAGTCTTTGCCAACTCAGCAGATCAAAGAGATCAAGGCAATAAGCTGGTCCTAAGCAGCTATGGGCTTTTATATGCAGAGGTGTTTCTGCAGACAGGGGCCTGTCAGCTCCTATGCTGCAACATTCTGCACTAACTGCAGATTCTGGATCAAGTCAGCAACTGCTGTGGTCAAGCTCTGCCAGCCCAGGCTTGATTGTACCTCTTGCCAGTCAAATTCATGCACAAGAATGCAAACACACGCCTGCACTCTGCCTTCCCAAGAACCCTGTAAGGTAGGACAGGCAGGCAGAGACTGGCTTTCTCAGCGAACTTCTTACCCCCCGATGGAATCTGAACTCAAGTCAATGGGTCTGAAGTCCAACGCTCTTTCCTCCCGACCAGATTTTTTACTTAGTAAACATTTCCTATGACAGAGCTGAGTTACGTAAGAATTGGCCCAAGACGCAAAGGTTACACCAGCGTTCTGCGAAGAATGCTCCTTTGGCTCAGTAATGAGTAACTTTAGTTAACTAGCAACCCATAATTGTAATTACTGAATGAGAACGTCTTGGATTCTGCACCCCAGCGAATGGTTAAGTTGCCCAGGGCCTGTGAGGTCAGATTTTTCCTTACTATACTGGAGGAGCTTGCTGACATGACAATAATTTTTTATTACAAGCACAAAGTATTGGTACCTGATTGTCTGGAGGCCTGTTTCTACTCACCATAGGCGAGCTGCCATTTGAAAGGCTGGTAAAACCGCACAGATAGGGCAGTAAGCTTCTGTTGACATGCAAGCCTCCTTTGTGGGTGCCCATAAGTGCCAGAATTCACCAATCCCCCCGCAAAGATCTTGAGTTTAGGGGAGACCAGTGTACCCATTTACAGAAAGCATTAAATTGGGGTCTGGGCGCCCTTAGGACAAAGGGATGCTAGCTATGAAGGTGAGTGTCAGTTTCCTGGAGTGAGATCTCTCAAATAAATAAAAAAACTTAAATTCAGGTAGGTAGCCGTGTTGGTCTGATGCAGACGAAATAAAGTTTTAAAAATTGTCCAGTAGCACCTTAGAGACCAACTAAGTTTGTTCTGTGTATAAGCTTTCGTGTGCATGCACACTTCTTCAGAAACTTCAGACACAAGGAAGGCAATTCATATTGGCAGTTCCTACGCAGCTTCAGGCTCATAAAAAGGGACCTGCAGGAAGTTACATGGCTCCAATCTGCCTGCCCGCCATTTTTGACCCAGAACAAGGGAGAAAGACAGCCAACTTTAACCAAGCTTTCCAAGTCCGGTCACCTAAAGGTCATCCTACAGACGAACAGGGAACCTAAAAACCGGATCTATTTGTTCCAAGAAAAGCATCGTCAACCTTTCCTCTCCCTTTTTCATTAAAAAAAAATAAGGAAGTCTGTAAATAATAACAGCCAAAACTCCGGGAGCACAATTTCAGCCTGGTAATCCTACAGGTGCCAGCCTGCTACATAGCTGCAGAGAGTGTGTGTGTGTGTGTGTGCGTGCAGGGAAGACAGCCCCCCCCCCCCCCCCAGACAGAGGGCTCCTTTTGTGTTCCATTCTTCCTTCCACAACCAAGGAGAGAGGCCTGCCATCAGATAAGAATTCAATAGAGTGTTTCAGAGTCCTTCTGGGTGCTTGGGCTCACCAGAGGCCTCCTTGGCTAATTAGCGGGAAGCCAGCTGCTCCCAAATGCCAGATTATCTTGACACAGAGAGAGAGAGAGAGCGCACTTGTGGACATGACGCCTGTGGCACTCAGTGCTCTCCTCTTGCGGCAAGAAAAGGAAGGTCTCCTCTGCAAAAAAATAAAAAATAAATCCAATTTTACTTTCAACATGTCTGCAAGGCAGTCGTGCTCCACAGGTGTGCAAGAACAGCTTCACATGCTCGGCTGGAGATCTCAGCAACGGGGCTCCAAAGACCAGCACCTCTTTCGCTGCCAGGATCCAAGTGGGTCCGTCTCGGGTTCGAATTCAGGCCACCCCAGCTGGTCCAGAGGGTGCTGCTCTGACTCCCATGACAAGGAAGCGCAGGTGGGAAGAAGAGCGTCACTCCTGAGCCCCATCCCCCAGTCCAGAGGCTGCTCCCATCTCTCTGCTCACCCCCCCCCAGATCCCACCCCCTTTTGTGCCTCATTCCCCCCCAGCTTTCTCCGGCCCCTCCTCTCTCTCAGACACAACTCTGCTGTTTCGAATAACCCACTGCAGGAAAACTCCCAGGAGCAACATTTTTTGACTCCTTTCTTGCAAGTCAACTCCACTGGCTTCCCCACCCCCGTCTTCCCCTAGGCGTGATTTCAGAGCTGGGGTTTTTTTTTTGGCGGGGGGGGGGAGAATCTGGGAAATTAAGAGGAGGCTGTGCATCCAACCACTTGTCGGAGTTTGCATTTGATTCCAAGGTCTCCAGCTGCAGCCAGACTTTCTGCAGGGAAAAAGGAGGCGTCCCCCAGAAAGCGGAGAGAGGGGGAGTTGGTGAAGCAGCCAGCCTCCCCCCCCCCCCATCTCAGACAAGAGACACAACAACAGACCTTGAGCCAATTTCCACGGGACTTTCCCAGGGCAAGTTAAGCTAGCCTTGAAACACAGAGCATGACAACGGGAATCTGATTTTCTTCCAACACACAAACAAAAAAACCTGACTGTTTATATGCCACCTTAAAATGGTGTCAGTAGCACTGCGCCTTTATTTTTAATAAAAATAATAATTTATTAATGTTAGCCAAGAGGACACCATCCCCCAATAACACACAACGAAAAGAGCTTTGCTCAACCACACGTACAACATAATTCTCTCACAATCGCCCTAAATTACCCAGGGATTACTTTCACAAAGGCACAACTAGGAACCTTCTTCTCCTGCCCCCCCAAACCACCCTTAACGCCACTTTCCCATAAGATCTCGTTTAAAATTTCAGTAGGTAACAATTCAAATGAGGCGATGATAAATATAGTTATTGGCGGGGTTAAGGAGGAGGAGCTTTGGAAAGGCTGGAAGGAGAGAAGGCATTCAGGGGAAGGGTCAAAAGAAAATGAGTAAGAGGGAAGGAGAGATTATTTCAGGGAGATGATTCAGGGAGGGGAGTTAAAAGGGCTGGAGAAGCAGCAGAAAGAAAGGGGGATGGAAAAAAGGAAGAGTTTAATCCTAGAGGGCTCTGTTGGGTGGGGCTGACTGTTGCTTCTGCAGTCACATAACGGGAAATCACAGCATTTATTTATTATTAATTTTGAGAAGAGTTAAGTTAAAACAACAGGAAAGAGAGGAAGGCTCAAGAGAGGGAGGGGCCAATTAATTAGCATTAATTAAACTGTTGCTTCTTCAATCACATAACGGGAAATCACACCATTTATTTGTTTATTTAGAATTTTGAGAAGAGCTAAGTTTAAAAAAAAAATCAGGAAAAAGAGAGGCAGGATCTAAAGAGGGAGGGGCCAATTATTGAGCATTAATTAAACGAGGCAAGAGTGGATTTTTTTTTTAAAAAGTGGAGGGGAGGAAGAGAAACAGAAACAAATTGCAAGTTAGTGACAAGTTCGAACTTTCGTTTATTTGGAAGGGGGAGGGAGGGGGAACCAAAGGCGGGGGGAACCAGAGGCGGGGGGCGCGGGAGGTGGGGGGCGCATTTCGAGGGGGGACAAAGTTCGGCCCTTAAATGCTTCCCCCCCAGGAATTCTGTCCCCCCCCCCAATAAAACACCAAACCCGGCCCCCTCCTCTGGCTCGAGGCCGCCGCCGCCGCCCGCCGCCCTTACCCGTCACCACCACGAGCCGCCGCGGCTTCTCCATGGCTCCTGCCCCGCCGGCCTCCCTCCTGCCCGGCCAACTTGAGGCGACTGAGCCGCCAGCCAGCCAGCCGCGCCCCGCCCCTCGGGCCAGGCCCCGCCCACCGCACGTGACCGCCCCGGCCCCGCCCCGAGCCCCAAGGAGGGAGGGCGCGGCGAGAGGGAAGCCTAGAGCGGCACCCGAGAGCCCCTCTCCAGCTTCCTCTTTCCGGCTTCACCATAGAGAGGGAAGGGCAAGAGCGGCTCCCCGCAATTCCCAAACATCTTTCCTTTTTACATTGATGACTTATTGTAATTATCTTTTCATAGCTCTGTGGCCCCTCTACCCCCTATTCTTCCTCTAAGACCCCTCTACCCTTTTCATAGCTCTATGGCCCCTCTACCCCGTTCCTATCTCTGAGACCCCTCTACCCTTTTCATAGCTCTATGGCCCCTCTACCCCGTTCCTATCTCTGAGACACCCCTCTAGCCCCTTCTTCCTCTGAGACCCTCTGCCTTTTCTAGCTCATGGCCGCTCTACCCCATTCTTCCTCTAAGACCCTCTACCCTTTCCTAGCTCTGTAGCCCTCTGCCCCCATTCTTCCTCTGAGACCCCTCTAGCTCTGGACCCTCTACACTTTCCTAGCTCTGTGTCCCCTCTGCACCCACTCTCCCTCTAAGACCCCTCTACCCTTTTCCTAGCTCTATGGCCGCTCTACCCCCATTCTTCCTCTAAGACCCCTCTACCCTTTTCCTAGCTCTGTGGCCCCTCTGCCCCCATTCTTCCTCTGAGACCCCTCTACCCTTTTCATAGCTCTGTGGCCCCTCTACCCCGTTCCTATCTCTGAGACACCTCTACACTTTTCCTAGCTCTGTGGCCCCTCTGCCCCCATTCTTCCTCTAAGACCCCTCTACCCTTTTCATAGCTCTGTGGCCCCTCTGCCCCCATTCTTCCTCTGAGACCCCTCTACCCTTTTCATAGCTCTATGGCCCCTCTACCCCGTTCCTATCTCTGAGACACCTCTACACTTTTCCTAGCTCTGTGGCCCCTCTGCCCCCATTCTTCCTCTAAGACCCCTCTACCCTTTTCCTAGCTCTGTGGCCCCTCTGCCCCCATTCTTCCTCTGAGACCCCTCTACCCTTTTCCTAGCTCTATGGCCGCTCTACCCCCATTCTTCCTCTAAGACCCCTCTACCCTTTTCATAGCTCTGTGGCCCCTCTGCCCCCATTCTTCCTCTGAGACCCCTCTACCCTTTTCATAGCTCTGTGGCCCCTCTACCCCGTTCCTATCTCTGAGACCCTTCTACTCTTTTCCTATCTCTGTGGCCCCTCTACCCCGTTCCTACCTCTGAGACCCCTCTACTCTTTTCCTATCTCTGTGGCCCCTCTACCCCGTTCCTACCTCTGAGACCCCTCTACCCTTTTCCTAGCTCTGTGGCCCCTCTGCCCCTATTCTACCTCTGAGACGCCTCTACCCTTTTCCTAGCTCTGTGGCCCCTCTGCCCCTATTCTACCTCTGAGACCCCTCTACCCTTTTCATAGCTCTGTGGCCCGTCTGCCCCGTTCCTACCTCTGAGACACCTCTACCCTTTTCCTAGATCTGTGGCTCCTCTGCCCCTATTCTACATCTGAGACCCCTCTACCCTTTTCATAGCTCTATGGCCCCTCTACCCCGTTCATATCTCTGAGACCCCTCTACCCTTTTCATAGCTCTGTGGCCCCTCTACTGCCATTCTTCCTCTAAGACCCCTCTACCCTTTTCATAGCTCTATGGCCGCTCTAACACGTTCCTACCTCTGAGACCCCTCTACCCTTTTCATAGCTCTGTGGCCCCCTACCCCCATTCTTCCTCTGAGACCCCTCTACCCTTTTCCTAGCTCTATGGCCCCTCTACCCCCTATTCTTCCTCTAAGACCCCTCTACCCTTTTCCTAGCTCTGTGGCCCCTCTGCCCCCATTCTTCCTTTAAGACCCCTCTACCCTTTTCCTAGCTCTGTGGCTCCTCTACCCCATTCTACCTCTGAGACCCCTCTACCCTTTTCATAGCTCTATGGCCGTTCTACCCCATTCCTACCTCTGAGACGACTCTACCCTTTTCCTAGCTCTGTGGCCCCTCTACCCATTAGAGCTATGAAAAGGGTAGAGGGGTCTTAGAGGAAAAATAGGGGGTGGAGGGGCCACAGAGCTATGAAAAGGGTAGAGGGGTCTCAGAGATAGGAACGGGGTAGAGGGGCCATAGAGCTATGAAAAGGGAAGAGGGGTCTTAGAGGAAGAATGGGGTAGAGGGGCCATAGAGCTATGAAAAGGGAAGAGGGGTCTTAGAGGAAGAATGGGGGTAGAGGGGCCACAGAGCTATGAAAAGATAATTACAATAAGTCATCAATTTAAAAAGGAAAGATGTTTGGGAATTGCTGGGAGCCGCTCTTGCCCTTCCCTCTCTATGGTGAAGCCGGAAAGAGGAGGCTGGAGAGGAGACCATAGAGAGGGGCGCTCGGGTGCCGCTCTAGGCTTCCCTCTCGCCGCGCCCTCCTTGGGGCTCCGGGCGGGCGGGGCCGGGGTGGTCACGTGCGGTGGGCGGGGCCTTTTCATAGCTCTGTGGCCCCTCTACCCATTAGAGCTATGAAAATGGTAGAGGCGTCTCAGAGGTAGAAAAGGGGTAGAGGGGCCTCAGAGGCAGGAAACAGGTAGAGGGGCCACAGAACTATGAAAAGGGTAGAGGCGTCTCAGATGTAGAAAAGGGTAGAGGGGCCTCAGAGGCAGGGAAGGGGTAGAGGGGCCACAGAACTATGAAAAGTGTAGAGGGGCCTCAGAGATAGAAAAGGGGCAGATAGGCCACAGAGGTTTGAAAAGTGTAGAGGGGCCACAGAGGTAGAAAAGTGTAGAGGGGCCTCAGGGGTAGGGGCCACAGAGCTATGAAAAGGGTAGAGGCGTCTCATATGTAGAAAAGGGTAGAGGGGCCACAGAGGCAGGAAAGGGGTAGAGGGGCCACAGAACTATGAAAAGGGTAGAGGGGCCTCAGAGGCAGGGAAGGGGTAGAGGGGCCACAGAACTATGAAAAGGGTAGAGGGGCCTCAGAGGTAGAAAAGGGTAGAGGGGCCACAGAGGCAGGAAAGGGGTAGAGGGGCCACAGAACTATGAAAAGGGTAGAGGGGCCTCAGGGGTAGAGGGGCCACAGAGCTATGAAAAGGGTAGAGGGGCCTCAGGGGTAGGGGGCCACAGAGCTATGAAAAGGGTAGAGGGGCCTCAGAGGCAGGAAAGGGGTAGAGGGGCCACAGAACTATGAAAAGGGTAGAGGGGCCTCAGAGGCAGGAAAGGGGTAGAGGGGCCACAGAACTATGAAAAGGGTAGAGGGGCCTCAGAGGCAGGGAAGGGGTAGAGGGGCCACAGAACTATGAAAAGGGTAGAGGGGCCTCAGAGGCAGGAAAGGGGTAGAGGGGCCACAGAACTATGAAAAGGGTAGAGGGGCCTCAGAGGCAGGAAAGGGGTCGAGGGGCCACAGAACTATGAAAAGGGTAGAGGGGCCTCAGAAGTAGAAAAGGGGCAGAGGGGCCACAGAGCTCTACCCCTTTCCTACCTCTGAGACCCCTCTACCCTTTTCCTACCTCTATCCTCCCTTACAGCCCTTTCCCTACCCAGAACCCATCACTATTTACGTCTGAGGGCGTGTGCGTTTGTGTGTCACTCTTCCCTTTTCCTGTCTCCCTCTCCCTTGCGTCCATCGCTGTCAACTTACAGATTTGAAAATAAGGGACCAGCAGCCTCGAAAATTAAGGATCAGCAGCCAAAATAAGGGATCGACAATTACTTTTATAAAATACATATTTTGTTGCGTGCAAATGGCTTGAGATACCAATTAGGTCCATAAATTACCACATAGCATATATTCAACCCCAAAAAACAGCAACAATTTGTTGTTGACAAAGGACAGCTGGATATAGGAAGGGCCCCATTACCTTCAGTAGCTTATTTAAGGGACATCATCAATAAGGGACAGCAGCGGGACATGGCCCTGGAATAAGGGACTGCCCCGCCAAATAAGGGACGCTTGACAGCAATGGCTGGTACCTCTGCCAGTATACAAGAACGCCAATCCAGAATTATTTCCATCCTTCGGCTGAGGGGAGCTGCCAGAGTTCTCATCCAGTCAATATTATAATTCAACCACAAGGGCAGCAGACCTTTGCCCACTATCTGAGCCACTTAAGTTGAAAGGGCAGCGGAGTCAGTTTGGCAGAGGACAGGCAGCAGGTGCCAGGCCCCACGGCAAAGGTGGGGTTCTTTTCTGGGTGCCATTAAATTGGCGTGAATGTGATAGGAATTTTATGGTCTTAGATATATGGTAATGTTCATAAGAGTGCCAACCAAGCACGTACATAGATCAGCACAGGAAGACCAACCTGGAACCATTTTGATTTCTAAACTGAGCAAATGTTTTCTCTGCAAGGTCAAAGTGGGAAACCTCCCATTGTCTCTTTCCTCACAAATCCTGTCTTAAGGATACATTTAAGATATGAATAGGGTGTGAGCCTGTGACCTGGCCAGGAAATAAGTATTTTACCACTACAAAAGAATGGCCAGGCTCCCCAGGCAATCCAATCAAGTAACCTTCCAGATAAACAACGACAGGAGAAAAACAACGTTCAAATTTCTGTTTTAAGACCGCCTTTTCTGTGATGTAGGTATGATGTTTCTGGGGGGTGGTCTTGATCTACAGGGTGGGAATTTCAAAAGTCTTTATAAGCCCTTGCACAACATTTTTGTGGGTCCCCCTCCTCTCCTGAGGGTGAGGGGAGCACCCTGTTGCAACAGATCAATAAAGATCAAGCTTACTAGCTGCTTTGCTTCTCAATATTCTCTGCTTGGCCTCTGTTATTCTCTCCTACCAATAGGGAACCTATGTAAGGACTCTATATGGGCTCTTGGATACCCCATAAGGGAAAAGGGCATTTTTTTGGTTTACAGCATGAGTCAGCCTTGTCCTTTCCTCTCTCCCTCGCCTGCTTGCTTCTCAAGGCCGATGGATATCGCTCCGTCTGTTCTGAGCGCTGGCTTCCTTGAACTCAAGCCAAGGTCATCCCTGCCAGCCACTGTTTGCTACTGAAACAGGAGGGGGAGATACATTCAATACAGTATTGTGATTTGTGAGACTCCATCAGGCAAGGCCTCCTTCCCCCTGCCTTGCCCCACCCTCGGCTTCTCAAGGTGTATTGTATTGTTTTATGTACATGTGGGCGGCTTGCCGTTGTTTTATTGATTGTAGTTTAGATATTATTGTAACTGTTGCGTGGATTTCTGTTTCACTTTTATATGTTGAAATTATTATTTTATACTATTCTAATTGATGAATGTTACTTTTTTTGATGTAGGCTGCCTATTTTAAAGTTTTATCACATTTTTGTATTGCATTAGATTGTGATAAGATGTGCATTTTTTGTTTCTTCAGCTTGTAAACCGCCTTGAGTATTGTAAGATAGAAAGGCGGTATACAAATTAAAAATGATGATGATGATTTTCCTGCTTTTTCTGCAGAAAACAATGGGAAGCCACTTGCAAAAAAGCCAAACAACTATGAAAATCACACACACAATGAGACAGTAGTGCATATATTTTCCATTTTGCAACACACTAAAAAGTGAAATTGTGGTTTTAGTTTAAAAGTATTTAGAAAAGAAAATGAGCTGAGCTCATGTCAAGTAGGAGCTCAGAGACAAAATTGCTTATTATTTTTTATTTTCGTTGTTTTTTTATTGAAGAAACGCCGCCCCACAAAATACAATGAGGCCAATCTTTCTTTAAAGATTTCTTCCTCCTCTTTGGCCGCCGCGCTGCATTGTGGGCAAGGCGCTCCTTTCTCCGCCGCGGGGCCTGCTGGGTAAAGCGGACCCTCCGTCTGGCGGCGTTTTGGCGACACTGTCGCGGCCGCCGCTCCCGACGTCGCTTTACGGCCGCCGCTCCGGAGGCTCCCCATTGGACGGGCGCTGAGGCCGAAGCCTTCGGCGGGCGGAAGCCGGAAGCGGAAGTCGACGTTGCTGGGGCGGCGGGGCAGGAGCAGGAGCAGCAGCAGCAACGTGAGGGGGAAGGAAGATGGTGAGGCCGGGCAAAGGGGGAGGGGGCTCGGGAGGGTCTACTCGGGAGTAAGCCCGCGGGGAGGGGCTTCTCCGCCCCAGGTCAAACCAGGGGGGGCTCACACGGGGATTGGCTATGGGGCAGGAGCCACTCAGCTCAAGGGAGTATCCTGGGAGGGGGCGACGTGGGTGCCTGGGGGGCGAGAGGAAGGCAATGGAGCAGCCTCTCTCCCCCCACCCCAGGTAGGGCAATGGGGGCTCCCTCCGCTGCCCCCGCCCAGGTAAGCCGAGTCACTCAGGGGCAGGACCCCTTCAGCTCAATGGAGTGTTCTGGGAAGGGGAAAAGTGGGAATCCTCTAGCCTGGGGGGCTAGAGGAAGGCAATGGAGCGGCCTCTCTCCACCCACCCCAGGTAAGGCAATGGGGACTCCCTCCTGCTGCCCCTGCCCAGGTAAGCTGAGTTGCTCAGGGGCAGGACCCATTCAGCTCAATGGAGTGTGCCTGAAGTAGGCATGTGCTTTGGCTTGCGGGGCAAATGTCAAACAAGGAGGTGGGGGTTTCACGTGGGGAGGGGGCTTGGGTCTGGCAAAAGGGGCTCGCTCCTCCCCGCCTCCCAGGTAAGCCGGTTCCTTTAGGGATGAGACCCATTGAGCGCGGCGGCATTTACCAGATTGCAGCATTAGTGTGATAGAGGGGGGGGGTTGTGTGCCTCCCCCTTGGATGCAGTCAAAGTGGTTCGCTCCCCACATCTTCCAGATATTCGCTCAGCAGTCGGCCCCATTGAGTTCAGTGGATTTTACTGGGGTAAGATTGCTAGAGGAAGGCAATGGAAGGGGGGCTTATTTCCCTGCCTCCAGGGTAAGGAAATGGAGGCTGCTGCGCTCCCTAGATGCCCGGTAAGCTGAGGGTTATGTTCACAATTATTCTTATTTATTTTTATTTATTGAGTTTATATACTGCCCTATACCCGGAGGTCTCAGGGCGGTTCGAGCGGGGAGAGTTGCGGCTGCATGCTCAAGTCCTGATGGGGGGCTTCCCTTTGGGGTGTCTGGGTGGGCAGTGTGAGGGCAGGACCCTTTGGCTTGATCCAGCAGGGCTCTGCTTAGGTTCTGAAAAGCATGGCAACGATTAAGGTCGGCTCGACTGTGAAGGCTCCTTTACCTGCCAGGTGTGTTTCTCAACCTGCCCAATTTGCCCCTCTCTTGCAGCTTCCGCTCTCCTTGCTGAAGACGGCGCAGAACCACCCCATGGTGAGTCCGGGTCGCGTCTAGCCTTCAGTCAAACTGCAGAGGAGGAGGCTGACGCGCTGCTGACTGTGGCTGGATGCACCTCCAGTTTTATTCATTTTTAAATTCCTGCATACAGAAAACTGGCTTTCTGGGGGAAGAGACTAATCCGGAACCGAACCAGAGCCAGCGATGTGTAGCGGTTAGAGTGTTGAACCTGGGAAACCTCTTGGACTAGCCTTCCTTGTAAGGATAAAGAGGGGGAAACTATGAGTGCTGCCTTGAACTCCTGGGAGGGAAAGGTGGGGTATACAATGGGACCTTGTTTCTCAAATGCTTTGGGTCTCAAACTCCGAAAACCCAGAAGTAAGTTTTCCAGTTTTGGGGGGAAAATTGGAAGCCGAACATCCGATGCAGCTGTCGGCTATTGTTTCTGGGACACCTGCACCCATCAGAAGCTACACCTTGGTTTTTGAACATTTCGGAAGTCAAACGGACTTCCAGAAGGGATTGCGTTTTTGTTTTCAGTTCTGATTGGCGCAAGCGCCTCGGAAACCATCGTTGACATCAGACGTTCAGCTTCCGAGAATCATTCAGGAACCGGAACACTTCCGGGTTTTCAGGCATTTGGGAAGCAAGGTCCCACTGTCTTAGGCTTTGGGAAGGCAAAGCAAGGGCTGTCGGGGTGTCACATGTTGCCCCAAAGGCCTCCAGGGCTGTGAGAGAGAGGGAGATGCCTCTTTAGATCTGGGAGGTGTTTCTGGAATGCGGAGGGGGGTTGTTGTCCGACACCTGGAGGGCCCCAGGTGTTTCCCCCAAGATTCTGGTGCTCTGGGAGCCCAGTTCCTTCATCTAATCTCCCGCCTTCTCTTTCCAGCTGGTGGAGCTGAAGAATGGGGAGACTTACAATGGGCACCTGGTCAGCTGTGATAACTGGATGAACATCAACCTGCGCGAAGTCATCTGCACGTCCAGGGTAAGCATTATTACTATTTATATTATTATTACTGTTATCTTCAAGTGATACTGCAAGCTCACACTTCTCACTGTGCTTGTATACCTACTTAAGGTACACATGTAAGAGGCTCGTTTTTTAATTTTATTTTGGGAATGATGCACTGCATTGCTTAATGCAGTTGTGCTCTACATTGTAAATCAATCAGAGCTAGGAGCTGCTCCTTTTGTTTTCCAATGTATTTCTTATCCATAATAATGATTTTGATAATGAGTGTGGCACGAGCAGATTTTTATTTCAAAAGTGTTGCACAGATGTTTGAGAACAGGTAGAATTGGTGCAGGGACCGCCTCCCCCCCCCCCTGCAAACTGGATTAAATGCAAGTGGGGGCAGGAGCAGGGCAAGCAAGCCTGCGCACAGGGCTGCCCGCTGCCCTGGCACCCCCTCTGTGTCCCCTTCCTCTTGGCGAGCAACACGTGGGGCAGCCCTGCGATGACATCAGCCCATTATTATTATTATTATTTAACAAAGTGTCTTCTGGTTGGCCACTGTGAGAACAGGATGCGGGCGAGGTAGGTTGGGTTGAAAGTGGGGGACACAGCCCCTGGTCACCCTGGGAGTTTCATGGCTGAGTGACGACTTGAACCCTCGTTTCTTCCAGGTTTATTTCCCCACACACTGCCCTGCTTTGGATGGTTACAACCTCTGAAGTCTAGCCTTGTAACCTCTGAAGTCTGGCCAGCATTTCCCAAGCTTTTTCGGGCGTCCCCCCCGCCTTGCAGCTCCACAAACTCATCCCCAGTGCCCCCTGCCCTATAAAAAGCATTATTCAGGATAGCGGTTTGCACGACCAAACAATTACACGTTTATTCAAAATCCAATTGAAACTCTTTATAAAATCATGGAATTGTAGAGTTGGAAAGAACAATGTAGTCCAGCCGCCTGCAATGTAGGGATACTCAGTTCCGATATCCCAAAAAGTGTAAGGGAATTCTTACTTGTGACAGTGACCGCAAGAATTTTAATAGCATCAAATTGGAAGGGAGAAAAAGTACCATCAAAATTGGAGCGGCAACAAAGACTAATGGAGTATGCAAAACTAGCTAAGCTGTCAATATTTTTCAATAAATGGGGTTTATTTAAAAGTTACATAAAATATTGCAACAATACAAAATCAGTGGCAGCCTTTAAGAAACTTCTGTTATACACCGATCAGGTTTAAGAAAGTACAATATTTAGGCTAAGAAATTATTTAAAATAGACACAAAGTGCGCTAGATAAATATAAATTTAAAGCTAGATGGAGTTGGCAGGAAATCAATGGAACTAGAAGAAGACTCTGACACGGTGCAATAGATATTGACAATTCTTTGTTTTGTGTTGTTATTTCCAAAGTCTGAAGGTCATCTGAACCTTTAGCGCCGCTCCATTAGGGGCCTCTTAGCACAATCCCACCATCCCCAGGGGGCGCTCCCACCAATTTGGGAAGCCCTGCCTGGTAAACCAGCACCCCTTTTCTGCCTTTTGGTGGGGTGCTGTTTGCCCGCTGTCCATTAGGTGGCGCTGCCTTCCAGCCCAACCTGTCATGGAGATGGGAGGGCCGGGCTCTGGCTCTGGCGAGACTTCAGTCGCAAGCGGGTGGGGAAAATCTCCTTTTATTTTTCAGCTCAGCAGGGGAGGAGCCATTTTTGCACAAAACCCGAGTCTCCTCCGGAAGAGAGGGAGGTAAATGTTAGCGCAGAGCTAAGCAGGTTGGCAGAAACCACACTGGGGGCAGGATTAGAAATGGGGTTTCCCCATAAGCTTTAAAAAGACAGCGTTTGTGTCAGCCGGTTTTGCAACAAGAAGTAAGAAGCTTCCAAAACAAAGGGGCTGTAGGCAGTCTGCCTGAGATTGCCTCCAGTTGGGCAGGAAAACGTTCAAAGGAAGAAACATAGGGAGAGAGCAGTACATTGGTCCCTTGGTTCTCAGACTTAATCCGTTCCGGAAGTCCGTTGCAAAGTGCTCCCAAAGCAAGGCGTGCTTTTTTGCCATAGAAAGTAATGCAAAACGGATTAATCCGTTCCAGACTTTTATAAACAACCCCTAAAACAGCCATTTAACGTGAATTTTACTATCTAAGAAGACCACTGATCCATAAAGTGAACGCAGTAATCAATGCACTGTACTATAAAATAAATAGGACAGTGTTGTAGATGATAAAAAAACAATGATAGTCATGGTTTGGATGGGGGGCTTTTATCCATTTCCACAATCAATCAGTCAGTCACGAAAACAAATGAACCGAAAACGACTTAAAAACAAAAAGGCAAAATAAAGAGCAAAAACAAAAGCGCCAACGTAATCCGTTCTGGAAGTCTGTGTGACTTCTGAAATGTTCGAAAACCAAGGCATGGCTTCTGATTGGTGCAGGCACCCTGGAAATAATAGCCAACAGTTGAATCGGATGTTCTGCTTCCAAAAATTGCTCGAAAACCAGAACACTTACTTCCAGGTTTTTGGAGTTTGGGAACCAAGATACCACTGTATTATTAAACTCGCTCTTTTCATTCTATTTCTGTCTTGAGTCGTCTTCTTTTTTAATCTGTTTTGGTCCTGGTTTCACCCGTTCTTCCTTTTCTCTCGGGCAGGACGGAGACAAGTTCTGGCGGATGCCGGAGTGCTACATCCGCGGCAGCACCATCAAGTACCTTCGCATCCCGGACGAGATCATCGACATGGTCAAGGAGGAGGTGGTGTCCAAGGGGAGGGGCCGCGGCGGGATGCAGCAGCAGAAGCAGCAGAAGGGGCGCGGAGTCGGCGGCACTGGCCGGGGTGAGCCCCTCTCTGGAGCTCGGGGGCGGCAGGGGAGTCTCCCACTTCAGGGGGCTCCCGGCCTTGATATGTGGTTTACTAACATCCTTCCTAACTCGTGCTAGCAAGTTTCCCCACTTAGCAGAGTGCGTTCCCCTTCTTACGCAGCAGAAAACTCGTTGCAAACTCGTGTGAGTTTCTTCAGAAAATACACAATTCAGTCTGGCTTCTTCAGATTGAAATGTGTTCTAATATTTTCCTGGTAAGACCCCTTGAATTCCTCCTAAGAGAATAAAGACGCCACAGTCTTATTTATAAGCCAGGCATGTCCAAACTCAGTATTGGGGGCCTAATCCGGCCCGCCGGTCGATTTAATCCGGTCCCCATGGCAGACATCTGAAGGCAGCCCTGTGTTGGGAAGTTTTTAAGGTTTAATGCATGTCTTGTGTTTTTAATATTCGGTTGGGAGCCGCCCAGAGTGGCTGGGTGAGTGGCAAAGGGGTTCCCCTGAGCTCAGCCCCTTCCTCTTTTCTTCTCCCCCCCCCAGGTGTATTTGGCGGCCGTGGACGAGGGGGGATCCCAGGAAGCGGCCGAGGAGGACAGCAGGAGAAGAAGCCCGGGCGTCAGGCAGCCAAGCAGTGAGGAGCCGAAGATGGCGCCCCGGACTCAAGTGCCATGCCAGGAAGGCTGGTCTGCCGTCCCTCTTCACCCACAAAAGAAACTCTTAGGTCCCTCTGTTTCCACGCACCTCGGGGGAGACGGAAGCCACTGGCCTCAAGTTTTGGTCTCTTTTTGCTTTTAAGTTCCAGTTATTAGAAATGAGTGTTTAAAGCGTCTCCCCGAGCGCATACACACAGTTTAGCTCTTAATTTGAGAATCCAGGTAACCTTTTGGAGGGGCGATTCGACTTCGCCTCTTCCCTTTTTTGTTTTTTGGAATCGTTTTGGCAAGAGAAACGCCTTGCCAGCCTTTGGAACGACAGTAACGGAGAGGACGGGCTAGGCTTTCCGCTCAGAGTGTCAGGATTAAACGATGTAGCTTTCTTTTTATTAGGAAATGGGACTTGTCAAGGCAACTTCAGCTCTGGGTTCAGTTTTTGGGGAGCGGGGTTGGATAAAAAGGTGTCGCCGGGCCAGGGAATTCTGCTGCTTCCACCTGGGCTCTCATCACACCTGTGGGAACATACCTTTTCAGCCGGAGTTTAGTCTCCCAGCCTCCCTCTGCTCCTGTCTCTCTTGTTCAGCCTTCCCCCCAGATATTTCCCAGGGATGTTTGGTGAGCAGGAGGTGATCTGCGTCCATTCATCCCCCAGGATGTTACCGGACTCCGACTCCCATCCGCACAGCCGATATTCTGGGATGCTGTTGGGAACTCCAATCCAGCAACATCTGGAGGGAGTCGGGCTAATCTCTGCTTCCAAATTCTCCACACACCCATTTCCCTCCCAGGTGGAATTTGTTGCCTCAGCCTCAGACCTAAAGCATCCCGTTTGTGTGACCCTTCTGAGAATCTCTCGGGAGGCTGTGTCGGCCGCCTCCATGATATCACCAGCAGTTGGTCGGAGCCAGAACAAACGCGCTGCAACCATTCTTTCCTTTTCTTCTTTTTTTTTAATAAAAAAAACGTGCTTTGTAACCCAGTTTTAAGTTTACGAGCAGAATAAACTTGGAATCAGCTGTTTGGTGTCTGCGTTTCTGCCGGAGGGGCCCCAGAGAGCTCCCGTTCCCCTTCGGTTCTCAAAACACAGCTTGCAAATCTGCTTTTGCTGTTTCACAATCTTGCAAGACGTCCGTATCATGGCAGTGCCCCGCCTGAGCTGGCAGGCTCAAGGAGCGGTCAGTCTGCTAGTGGAAGTGGCCTGTCTCGGCCCCCTCCACCCACAGGCAGCTCCTGCCCTGGAACACTTTGCCCTTTGCGAAATTTGGTTCTGGAAGCTGGCCGGATCCAGAAGCGGGTGTGGCGCTTGGATTCCCAGGCAAAGCTTGTTTTTGAAAGATTTCTTAAATGGATGAGGACATCCCAGGACGTTTCTGAGCACAATTCAAAGGGTCAGTGCTGACCTTAAAAGCCCCAAACGGCCCAGTATCCCTGAAGGAACATCTCCACTCCCATCATTCAGCCCGGACACCGGGGTCCCTCTCCTGAGGGCCTTCTGGCGGTTCCCTCCCTGCGAGAAGTGAGCTTACAGGAAACCAAGCAGAGGGCCTTCTCGGTGGTGGCGCCCGCCCTGTGGAACACCCTCCCATCAGATGTCAAGGAAATAAGCAACTATCTGATGTTTAGAAGACATCTAAAGGCAGCCCTGTTTAGGGAAGCTTTTAATGTTTGATGTTTTATTGCTTTGTTATTATCAGTAGTAATATTATGTTGGGAACCACACAGAGTGGCTGGGGAAACCCAGCCAGATGAGCAGGGTATAAATAAGAAATTATTATTATTATTATTATCATTATCCAAAGAGCCCTGCGGCAGCTGGCTCACCCAGGCCATCATCGTGGCCCCACAGTGGCCAGCCAGGCACCCCCAAAGTGAAGCCCCCATGCAGGACATCTTTCCTCACTTGCGGCAGCCGATACAGAGAATCTGCTGTGCATGCAGGGGGTCCCATCCCCTGCCTGAAACCCTGGAGAGCCTCTGCTGCCAGTCTGTCTGGACAATACTGAGCTCGATAGGCCTGGAACCCGATGAGCTTGAGCATTTCCTCTTCCCTCCTGAACCGTTTTCCTTTGATCTTGTGTCTCCTGGTTGCAGGCTGGAGGGCAGGACAGCCCTATGCCTCTCTCCCCCTAACTCGCTCGCTACTATCTCTGAACGCCCTTTCCCCTTAGCCCTTGTGAGCAGGCGAGACGGCCTTTTCCGTGGGGTGGAAGCGGGTGTTTCATTCCAGCACCCATGGGAGCCAAAGTGTCTCTCTCCCCCTCCCTCTGGGAGACGCGCTTCTCCTCTTCCAGAGCCGTGAGTCACGGCAGCCCCCGCCACTTGAATCTGGAATAGCTGCGCACCAAGCGGAGCAGAAGAAATGCTTCCAGGCCTTTGCTCAGCGGATAAAAATAATCTCTTCTCTGTGCTCCCCCCACCGTTGCCTCTCCTTTATATATTCTTTTTATTAAGGTTTCCTTTTCCCCTGAGATGTCACGGTCAACGGCTTCTGAGGCCCCCTGGAAGAATCTTGGCTGGGATGCAGGGAAGGAGCCCTGATCCCCCCCCCCCAATTTGGGGGGGAAATAAAAAAATAAAATTAAAAATGGTGGCGGCCAAACTGGGGGGTGGAAAGAGAGACATGTTCAGGAGTAAACAGAGAAGCGGCAGCTCCTCTACCCTTGTAGCTTTGCAGGTGTGGACTTGAACCCTCACAAGAGCCAGCAGGCTCAGTGGTCAGGGCTAGAACCACAGATCTGTCCATTTGTTAGGGACCCCTGAGGAATCCTGCGACACAGCTGTTCCTGGGTGGGGTCATGTATAATTTGCAGACGACACCAAACTGGGAGGGGTAGCTAATGCCGCAGAAGACAGAATCGGGATTTGAAATGACTTTAGCAGATTGGAGAACCGGGCTCAAGCTAACAAACTGGATTTCCATAGGGACAAATGTCAAGTTCTGTACTTAGATGTGCAAATATAGGATGGGGGACACCTGGCTCACTAGCAGGACATGTGAAAAGGATCTAGGGGTCTGAACACGAGTCAACAGTGTGATGCAGCAGTAAAAAAAGCCAATGTTATTCTAGGCTGCATCAACAGGACACTAAACATCTGGGGTCCAGATCAAGGGAAGTCCTCCCTCTATTCTGTGTTGGTCAGGCCACATCTGGAATCCTGTGTCTAGTTCTGGGCATCACAATTTAAGAAGGATGTTGACAAGCTGGAAGGTGGGCAGAGAAGAGCGACCGAGATGATTAAGGGTCTGGAAACCTGATGAGGAACGGTTGAAGGAGCTGGGCGTGTTTAGCCTGGAAAAGAGGAGCCTGAGAGGAGAGACATCTCAAGGCCTGCCACATGGAAGACGTCAACTTTCTAAGCGCATGAGTCGGTTTTCTCCTGCTCTGGAGGGCAGAACTCAAACCGTGACTTCAAGTTGCAAAGTGAGATTCCGACTCAACATCCTTAAGTGTAAGACATCTCCTGACCCTCATCTTCCCCCCAAAAAACAAATCTGTACTAAGCTTTTCCTTCCTTGACAGCTTTTGTTCTGTTTTGTTCCTCTCCAATGTACTTTTAAAAATGAGATTCGCAGAGGCCTCCATCCCTGTGCAAAACCTGCGTGAAGCCAGAACGTCACAACCTGCGGTTGCCTAGGACACCTTCCCTGGTTTCCACGGGCACCTGGGGGGAGCGAAGAGGGAGCGCCTGAACTGCGTGTGCTCCCCCCCCTTTCTTTAATTGCCAGGTGCCTCTGCAGTCTCCAGCAGGGTTAGGCCAAGGCTGGCTCTGGCTGCGTCCCCAGCCGGGAAGGGCTGCTCTCCTTCGCTCGCCCCATCCTGGGACAGCGCCAAGGCAGAGAGAGGCCTGGGATGGATTAGGAAGCCCTGGAAGGCTGCTTTTAATTTTGCAGCCTCCTCCGCTGGGAAAGAGATGGGGGGGCAACCCAAGAAGAGGGGGCCAGATCCAGGCCAGGTGAGGGGACTCAAAAGGGGGAGAGGCTCCCAGCTGAAGGCTTTTTCAGGGGCTGCGACCAAATTGAGCAGAACCAGAGACACACACAGCCCAACCACGCATCCTGGGAACTGTAGTTTGAGGGCGCTGGGAATCAGAGCTGGCTTTGACCGCGCAGGGACAATGCTGCCATCGCAGTGGCCACCCAAGCCTGGCTGTTTCCCAAGCCTGGCCAGGGTCTCTGCTAGGAGCCTCGAGTTGTTCTGTGTGCGAGAGTTGCCATTGCTTCAATCATTTCGAAAGCACAGCTGTTTGTCCCCTTTGGCTGAATGCAGTGTGCGACAACGAAGGCGCATGCCTCTGAGCATGCACAGAGAGCTTTCCCAAAACACATTGCTAACGGGGGACAGACGGACTTTGGTCATCTTTCATAATACGGTGTGCCCTGTGTGAGGCCAAAATTGGGTTCCCCCAGTTATGGATCTTCTCAACTTTGCTGCGCCTTGGGCAGGGGGATCGCATCCAGCACCTTTGCTGACGACAAACCTATACCTCCAACCTTTCTCCAGTGAAAACAGGGACGTCCTAAGGAAAAACAGGATCAAATCAGGAACCGGGAAGGCTTCTGTAAATCCAGGACTGTCCTGGAAAATGGGGACACCTGGAGGGTCTGACAGAGAGGACCTCTTCTAGGTTGGGGGCCTGTGGTGGAGGAAAGTCACCTTTCAATTCACAAGCTATGTAGATGTGATGGTTCGGAATCCGAAGAAGGAGCGTCTCATCAACACGGAAAGTCTGAACCAGTCGGTCCGGCCGCAAAACCTGTCCCGTCCCACTAATTACGGGGTTGGCGGAGTCTTCCATGGAACGTGGGCAGGGCTTTGGAAAGAGCTCAAATTAGAAGCTGGGACTCCTTGGCTCTGGCTGGGCCTGTGGGGCTGCGCTGGGCGTGCCGCCCTCCTTATGCCCCACAGGAGGGCACCCCCTGCAAGAGACCCTCACTGGGAGGCCTGCCAGACCCACAAGGGGGAGGGTTTCCAATCTGATTTGCAAGGGGAAAGGTTTCTGCGGAGGGAGAAAGGTTTTTTTCAGGAGCAAAGGAGGACCCAGAGGAGAACACCCGAGGCGCCCCGCCCAGACTCACAGCCTCGAGCAAACCTCGCCTTCATCTTCTGGGATTGGGGTTCCCTCCCTTCCCCGTTCTCTCTGCAAATTGAGAACTCCTGGGAGCCCAGCAAAGCTGCCCAAGGCGCCTGCTCACAAAACCCAAAATGTGATCCACAACAGGCAAATTCTTTCCAGTGTATGAACCCAAAACAGGAGGCCTGTGGGGACACCTGTGACCGTCCGAGTGTTGCTTCCACACATGCTGGGAGTTCAGCAACAGCGAGGGATGAAGGTTTCTCCTTCCCCCATCTAAGGAGAGGCGCCAGCTGCTTCCTTGGTCAGTCCTGTGTCCAATTCTGGGTACCACAATTTAAGGAGGATGTTGAGAAGCTGGAAGGTGGGCAGAGGAGGGAGACCAAGATGATCCAGGGTCTGGAAACCTGATGAGGAACGGTCGAAGGAGCTGGGGATGTTTAGCCTCAGAAAGAGGGGACTGAGAGGAGATAGGAGATCTCAAGGGGAATAATAATAAATCCCTTTCCAAGCCAGCTTCCCTTACCCTGGAGGCATTCACAAGTGACACGTGAAACCGCAAGGAGGGTTTGCCCTCCGCTCTCGCCCTGGGGTGGGCACAGGCCTGTTTTCCATCTGGCGCCTGGATTTTCCATCCTTCCAACCTGGGCGTGTGCTGCTTGGGATACAAGCCAGTTTCTGCTGCTGCTGCTGCAGACCGGCCGGCTGGCCAGCCCCACTGCGATACAATCTCTCGCCCCCACCCAGCCGTGGGGCGTTCCTGCCCTGCTGGCAGGGGGTGAGGCTGGCAGAGGGCAGGCCAGGTCTCTTTGCTCCTGCCGGGCGAGGAGCCCCCGGGGATGGCAGGGGGCAGCCAGCGAGGCAGCGGTGCTGTGAAAGGGCAGGACTTTGGGGGCACAACTGCAGGGCCCCCACTTTTGAGAAGGGAGGGATCTGCCCCCCAACA